TATCACATTTACGCTGCACGGCTCCAACCAGGCGATTTAACTTCAATATATATGTATTGCCGTTTTGAAAAATGCTTTATAACATCTACTTAATGGTCAAGTTTAAATGACAAGTTAATTACTGGGTTGGAGCCGTACGTTTAAATATGCTATGACCCTAACCTAGTTCTCTGAGCAAAAGCAATAATTTATATTACATTTCCGCGTACACTACTTGTTTAATAAAACAACTATTCAACTTCTCAAAAATGTTGTAAAAGAAAAATTGTAAGTAAACGAAGTTTTTATAGCGATAGATTTTTTGCTATACCTGACTGAACAGGGTTACAAATGTCTCTTATAATAATATAAACACGATAAAAAGTATCCAGAAACAAAATAGATTATATAATTTTAATATTCCAATATGTTCCCAAAGTTACTACAATCAATAATGTCTAATTAAGATAGAAAATCTTGTTTTTTTTTTAAATATTTTTAAACATTTTTATTTCAGAACGAAAAATTTTTATCAAAAATTTTAGTCATAAGGGCATTCGACCTGTTAAACAAACATACTTTTTATTTCGAATTAACAGGTAAATTAAATGTATAATCCAATTACATCTGCTTTTTCGGAATTACAGAATCTACATATACACAAATTATGGAGTAAAACCAATTCAAAGCATTGTTAATCTGATATTCAGAAATTTATTTTGTTACTTAAAGACATGTGGGGAACCCACTATATGTACATACAACATTTCATATTTATTTATATATATTCACCACTAACATAAACATAGACATTTCACATTCACGTAAATAGTTCATCATCATAGATTTTTTAAACACTCTGGTAATTATAAAAAGAGTATATACATAAATTGAGATATACTCTCTGTTCGAATAATTATCTGAATTTGTTTCAATATTATATTTTTAAAATTGAAAAATTAGAAAATGTAAATAAACAAATTTTATTCGATTGTGTTTGTAAGATAGTGAATATATTTAGTTATTTTTAAATCGTGTACATTATTGAGAGATTTATTTTCATCATCGCTACTGCCATAGACATTTAATAAAATGGTATAGGGTATAGATTATTGTGCTATAATGTGAATATTATTTCTAGACGTTCGGTGGGATGATGACGTCTTAGCAACAAGTTATACAAATCTCACCTCATAGCACCTTTACAGAATTAAAATCTAGAGGTAAATTTAATAATAAATTTTCTACAACTAATAAGATTGAGCAGTTTCTTTGAACAGTTTCAATAGAAAAAGATTATATGTACACTCTTCGTAAAAAATAATATTACGATATCGAACTATATATTTATATACTGTGGTATGACATTTTGTTATATTGTACATACAAATCAGATTATTTAAATGGCAAAGTTTTCGTTTGCAATTTTAAACTCTACTGGCAAAGTATTAGAGTGAAAATTCAAATTGACTGTCTTATGTATTACACAGAATAAGTCCTGACAAATTGTTAAATTACTGGCCTATTGCTGTATTGAGATCTTTCAAAAACGAGTGCCGTGAACTTTTTATGGAACCAACCATAAAAATATTTATATTTTAAATGGAGCCCAATACCGCCCTTAAAATAAGGCATATTACGTAAATTTTGGTGTATACGGCAGCACTAGCACATACAGTAAAACTTTTTGGAACATTTCGCCTATTGGATATTGATTCTTATCCTTAAAAAAAACCTATGCATTTACCATTTGCTCACTAAACTTTTGGGTAGATGTTTATAAAAGACTGTTTACTATAAGTGCTGTGACCTGGCGATCGGACGTTCCTTCAACTTGAAATACGTCCTATTAAACTAAGTATAGACAATAAAGAAAATTAGAAATAGGTATTACCTATAATTAATTATACAGGGCTACTCGCAGGGCTAGATAGCTGGCATCATAAACAACATTATATCTACGAGTTATATCATAACTCAATACTTTGAACAAACACGATTTTTTAAGTAAAAATTTTTCAAATTTTTTTTTTTGTTATACGCGTAGCTTGGATAACAAATTTAATATTTTACAAAAGCAAAATGTAGCGAAAAACGAATAAACTTTAGCTAATTGGTCCTGCCAGGATGTTGCACGTAACCCTGTATATTTAATATGACGCACACTATTCATTAAGAAGCTTTTTAACGTATTTGAAAAGATCATATACCGTCATAATCAGACAAATTCAAATAAGAATAATTTGCGCATCCATACAGCCAGTTGCACAAACTTCCATTCATTAGTTTAATACCACAATAGCCTTACAACTTTTCAAATAAAGAACATTCATTAGAGTTTAAAGTCGTCATTGAACCTTAACGGACGTTTGTGCAATGGACGGTTAGACGGCAGCTGTTGTTAATAAAAAAGTTTCACATAAAAACTAAACGCGGCCAAGATTTAAAAGTTGTCTTATTACTTAAAAACACTCGGCTGAAAGTTCTGTCGAAATTCATAGAATTCCCACATACGACTACGTCTAAAATAAAAATCCATAATTCATATTAAACATATCAGACTTAATAAAAGAATTATGAACGAAAAATTATTTGTTAGAAAATTAAATCTCATATCAAAATGAATTAAAAAAAATAACTTTCTACCTTCTGTAATAAGATCTAGCCGTACAATTAAAGTACCATGTTAATGAACAAATAAATGATTATGAATACAAAATCTGACGGCACGAATTTCTTTTAATAGTTACGTTCAGTTGCACAAACGCCCATTATGATTCAATGACGCCTTTAAACTTATTAATGTCAAATTTTTATAGGTAATGTCGCTTTAGACTAACGACAATTTTAATGGACGTTTATGCTACTAGCTGTTAATTATTTAAATATTTCAGTAAAATGTTACGGTGTGACTGATTAAATAATTATTCTTTCGAATGCTTTCTTACACCCGGTTTCTGAATTGAGTACCTATTTAAAATTAAGCACGTTTCAAACTGCACTTATACTAATTTTAGTTTTTTTTAATGATTAGTTGACAGATGATAGTTGATAGTTTGATAAAAAATAGAAGTTTTGCCAAAAGAAAGTTGTGAAAAGAAGAAATTAAGTTATTGTGAGTAATCAGTTGAGACTTTTTACTTTTCTCAATAGGGTTGACGACTTATTTTTATTCGTTAGTTTTAATTAGTTTGAATCTACCGTCAGGTAGATTTAAAAAAAAAATTCATAATCTTTAAATTACGACGTTACATTGAGTTAAAATGTCACATGACGTCACGCTTTTGTACATTTTCTACAAAACTGTGACATAGCGAGCCCCCGCTTCTCAAATTTAATGCTATTTAAGCTATTTCTTGTTAAATCGAAATAACAGAAAAAAAATACGTATCTAATATTTTTCTATTATCCGACGGAATAAATAGAATTCCTTTTTTTTTACCCCGACGTCATCTGTATTCAGAAACCGGCCGTTAGACAATTAACAACAATTAATTCTTGCATACGTTACCTTTCATTAATTTAACACATCAATATACAAACGACATCTACTTACAGAGTCCTAACAGGTAATATAAAATTCACATTTATTGCAAAAACAGAAACAATATGTGTATATTAATAGATTATAAAATATTTATGTATTTTTAATGATTAGAAGCTCGAAATTTATAAGGTATAATTAATATAGAAATCGACTTGGCAAGTCATTTCCTATCACTAAGATAAAATGTGTTACAGCACAGTCGCCGCACGGAGAGAATTTCGTTCGTTGACCTTTGTGCTTGCTAATAGATATCGTAAACATTTAAGTTTCGTTTTACTATGACAAAATTGGTTAGATGCACCTGCGCGAGCGCAATAGTAATATGTTTGGGCACGAGTGCAAGAGATGTATAAGGCCGGATTATTGCACGAAATTTTCTATTCTCGACCACGCTACGTCTATTAAATATTCAGCAGTGGTGTAGCTAAGAGAGACTAAGATTTGGATGTGGTGACACCCGAAGCTTACATCAAAGCGGGCGTCAACTACACGCGTATAATGACAAACTCGAGAAACGCTTTGTCTACACTAAATGTCACTTTCCTCAGGTCGAGAGTGTGAGATCGTATGGGCGCACTCGAGAAAAGTGACATTTGGATGTTGACAAAACATTCTCGAGTTTATCACGTGATGCGTGCTAAGATTTTTGAAGTTGATTAAAAAAATATCAAAGCACTACACATTGTAATCTTTTCTTAAATATTACGTAAAGTTTCATTACGGTATCGGCGCATAAAAAATATGAGCGTGTGACACCAGAATTTAACGTGACAACACTGCTCTCAACGCGGGTGACAAAAGCAAGTTACACCACTGATCTGTGACTTATCGAAAATAGACATGTACAACATAACAAAACATTATTGGATATTTCCTTCGTTGTTATTACTTGTATAACTTATTAATTACTTAGGCAAAATAGAATATTACATTGTATATAGAAATAATTGATTTATGCCCAAATAATATTTACATTAGAAAATAAAGTAAGTATAAAAATGTTTTTATTAACGTATAAAATATTAATAAGAAATATAATTATAAAAGATATATTTAATATTATTCGAAATTTTCATATAAAAATAGATTTTATTTAATAATTTCTCGAAACGAGATTGTGTCTATTAAAATCTACAAATGGCTATAAAACTAACGCCAAAGGTCATATAAATTATTAATAAGGCAATTCAGTATTGAAATTGCCAGGAATTATCGTTTATTTTTTCCCGGTAAAAAAAATATGAAAAACATTATAGGCAAAAAGATCTAGCTTATACAGCCTAATTTGTCGTAAAAAAGGTAACGAGGTGATCTGAAGTATTTTGACCACTTTTTATATATTAATAATATTAACACTACCAAAATTCCTATTGAAAAACTAAATTAAAACCAATCTAATCTTTTACTTTGGCGCTAGTATGCGAAGTCTTAAGTATTTTTTTAATGAGTAGTTGTGTTTATGAACCTGTGGTCTTCATTTGACAATATAGACAACATTGCTGTCTCGCTCTAACTGTTCCTCTAGTTGTGGCTGCGAGATACCCCCCTGGCAGCATAATTCGTCGAGACACACGAGGCCGGTGTATAACCGCGCCGGTGATTGGCTATTCTCGCTCAACGTCGACGACGCGTCGTCGTTCTGAAGCGTGATTGGATACTGAAACAAAGGAAATATATTATAAATATAAACTGATTGTGATTGCTTCCGTGGCGGAGTCGGAATTCGTCTTAGTTTTTTTGTTTTTAGGGAGTAGGTTTCGGAAATACTGATCCGATTATGAATATTCTGTAACCTACGGGAAGCTTTTAGTTAACAACTTTTTTATTCTATAAATACCTATAAATGTTCATTGATATATGAGACATACTGCAGAAGTAACAGCATGCCTGCGGTTAATAGTTTCGGAGATACGGTGCTATATTCGTGGAACTGTTACTAGTTGGCCAAAAACGCTCCCTACAAATGTAGCGGATGGTAGTTGGCCGAAAATTCATATTCATCAAACATATGGACATTCGGACAATATTTGTAATTTAATTTTGTTATTTCTGCGTTTATGTTTATAGTTGTTATAGCGAAAATTGTTATAAATTGTTGTAAATCCTTATTGTTTTCAAAGCGTAATATTTTTCAATTTGTGTAATAAAATTTGTTTTATTAAATATTTACAAGTGAAAATGGTTCATATTTTCCGAACATATAACATAAACCTGCATTTCCACTTATAGGAAACATCCCTAGACAAGCAAAGTTGCGGGAAAACATCCAATTATAGTATAATAAATAATATTACCCTTTAATATAGTAAAAGAATCTACTAACGTGACCGTGCTTTTAGCTAATCGGTCTACTGTCCCTTCAAGATGGCCGCCTTTCAGAGTACTTTCGTAGTTGACTTCTAATGATTGTCTATTATTATGCCATTGTAACACAAATGCCGCCACTGCTACACTGAGCGTGTTCTCACCTTGTAAACGCGACGGATCAGTCCCTCGAGTACGCCGAACAGCACAAGTTTCCGCTCGTTGATTGCAAGCTCCTGCGGCCTCATGCGCCGGCACAGGTCGCGCACGGTGCTGCCATACGTCATGCCCGCGTACATACGGAACAGATCACTCACCTTTGGCAGCTGTCGCGCTAAACATTAACAATAAAAAAACACATTATTACCGTCATAATATGGGGAACAAAATGAAAGTGCAGCAAAGAAGAAAAAGTGGTAATTCGCGAGCGACAATGGCAGAGATGGTGTGTCAATACAAGCATGGTTTCGCAGACCTCGATTTTAAGTGATTGAGCTTCGATTTTAAGTGATAAACATAAATTAATCACTTAAATTTAAGTTCGCAATTTAGTTAACTACTTATCAACTTAATCCGTGTAAACCAGTCATAAAGAGAGCAAACTCAAGAGTGGCTATCCACACTAAGGTATTACTAGTCTCTTACTCGACTACTTGACGTCATACGGAACAATATACCGATTAATATATAATATAATAAAACAGGCGATCATTTCAAAATGCAACCACATACTTGAAATTTGGTGAAGTATTTGTTTAGTGAGGGACTCTAATCTTTAGATTCGTTCTTAGTATTTTTTTTATACCAAAATTGTTATGCTTTATATAGTTTTTAATTGTTATCTGGTTGTCGTCATTAAACGGAGTGCATACTTTCAGTTTACATGATTAATGATGTCTGTCCTTAGTATTTGTGTACCTCGCTCGATTTTATGTTAGCGAGTGACTCGCATCGCTCTCTCGATCCGTAAATAATATTTGTGTTCGGCTCGCTAAGGGACGGGAGCTAAGGGACTGGCCCCGGGGCAAGGCTTTGTCACCTTGTGTGACTTGTGTGGTTTTGCCGTGATAGAACTTTATGTAACACAAAATTACACATCACGGTCACGTTTAACAAATATTAGAATCCCGGGTGAATGTCATCTACAGGTCATTCAGTCAATATTTTTATAAACTAAAAAAAGAAACGCTTCTTGACTTGAACATTACTGTAATATATACATACACGATCTAGCGCAGAACTCTACACACTGCCGTTGTAAGCCCGGACACCTCGTCAGTTGTCTTAACTTTGGTGTCGCACTGTACACCTGTAACGCAAATAGATTTAAATATTTAAAGTTTCGTGAAATTATTACAAAAAAAACTGAAACCCAAAAGAAATTATAGAGACTAAAAGCAATGATTAATCGTCATTATTAACTTTATAATATTCCTACATCAGGAATACACAGCCATCACATTTAGCATAAGTATTTAGATATGCAAAAATTTTAGGCAACGATAAGGGTTCACTCGTACGTAAAATCTAGTTCGGTACAGATACGCCATAGGAAACCGATACATTCTCCGCCTTAAAAAAATAAGGTGAACATAAAATAATAAATGTTCTGGTCATTTGTTCACAAAAATATAATTCAACATCGTTTACTCAATGGAAATAATTTGCCATCGATTACACCGACTGCATAAAACCTACAAGAAACTCTGCAAAGGATTGTATATTCACTTTATTTCGCCAACGATAAGTCAACTCAACAGAATATAATAGTAGGTAAATCATAAAAAATCCATATTGTTATTAAAACGTAGAAATTGAATAAAATAATCACATGAGATATTTTAGTTTTACAACGACGAATAGGTACTCACGGCACAGTACTGGAATATGGGGACTAGGGTGACCACACCGTAGTACACTAGATTCTGGACGCATGCGCGCACCAGACTGATCTCCACGTCTGTGAGTGCTGCTATCTTCGATACGTGGTTGAAACCGTCTATGTACGGTAATATCTGAAACAAAGGTGTATTTGAAAAATAACCGTTCTAGACAAAGGATTGGATGACACTTTTACCATAATACAACAATAGTAAGCCCACTTGTATTCCGAATAACTATACCTGTAAAAGTTGCATTTTTAGTGTAACTATGGAATTTATTACAAAATTATGTGTACATAGTATTAAGCAAAGTCGCTACCTGTCTTCCTGTCTGTACGCTGAGCTATTTCAAAATACACAACGGATTCCGACAGAGTGATTCAAAAGAAAGGTTTATACTTATAATATAGTAACCACGCGCGCAAAGCCGCTGGCGTAAAGCTAGTTCCCTATAACAAGTCCCTGTTCCCACTACATTATTTACTAAAATAACTACTAAACTACTAAAATGTTAGGCTAAATTGAAATAAATCATTCGTTATTTACTCTAAATTACGCTAAATGCAAACATCAATTCATCTTATTGATTAATTTTAAAATATATTTAGTTTCGTGATAAATCGATATTCACCTAAAGTAAAAAATATTCATAAACTTGCATCTTGATTCAATATAATGGACGCAAACAAAATGCTAACCGTAAAAACTTCGATATAGCAGCCGATAACTAAAAAGAAATATTGCATTATGGATAGTCACGCCACTAGGGTTGCCAACAGTAGCTTCTAATATATTTATATAAAAAAACTTAAATAATTATGAAATACATTATGTATTGTTCATAAACGATAGGGAAAAATTTTTTTAAACATTTTAATATATATTATAAAAAATGGACATTAACGACCAAATATAGTAAGGGTTAAGAAATGAGTTATGATTTACAGTAACAAGCATTATATTAGTGCAGTGATTAGTTTTTTCTGTATAAAAACTGATCTATTTACCTGTAACTTGCGTGAGTTCATCAAGGTAATTCTATTCATAATTATGATATAATAAAAACATTCCAAAAAATAAAAAGGTGAGGTTGGCTAGTGCAGTACCTACGTACTGTTTTCACTAGCTGTCCTCGCGTTTGGACTGCGCCTCCACTTACCATCAGGTGGAGCGCAGTCATTTGCCCTCCATTTTATATAAAAAAAAAAATATAAAAAAAATATATATGAACTTGATATCAGTGTGACCATATTCAGTATTTTAATACTTTTTCGGTATATTTTATCGACTTTTCCAAGCATCAGTATTTTTGTAGGTATATTGGCGGAAGTCAGTATTTTTTGGTATATTTTGGATAAAAAGTTATGGCAACACCATAGCGAACGTCTCCGCGAATTTCTGCCAGGGAATTTCCCGGACTTAGTCTATTATTTCATTCGGGAGCAAAGATCAGTAAGTTATAGATAGGACATGACAAGCGTCCGCCGAAGTAAAATTATTAATAGTATCGAATCATCTAATACGGTTTAAATAAAATGAGTTTCTGTTCTGCACTTAACTTAATCTTTGAAGTTATTCTTTCGATAAATCGGGAATTTCCCCTTTGTAGTACGTTTTTGTCATCATATAAATAGAGCGCTTTCCTTTTGTTTTTATTTTACTTGACGCATCCGTCCGGAACGAAATGTCTAGTTTTCAGCAAAGTTATTTGGCTAAGTGGGAACAAATTCCGGAGTTTTCTTCGTGGCTTTCACGTTATAAAGATGACGAGTACGCCGCCTTTTGCAAAGCATGCAGTGCGAATCTCCAAAGTAGATTAGCATCTATAAAACAACATGCAAATAGTGAAAAGCATAAATCGAACTTTAAAAAATATAAAGGACAGTCAAAGGTAAGCATACATTGATATATATAGCATTACTGTAGCTAAAGTCAAGAAGTTCTGTTGTTCAGAACAACTGAAGATGTTTTTATTAGTGGGTGGTCTATGCTAACAATTTTTTTATTTGTTTCCAGGTTGATAAATTTTTTAGAAAGGTACCACTGAAAGACGAAGTCAAGAAAGCTGAACTCCGTTTTTGCAGTTTTTTTGCAGAACACAACATCCCGTTTAGAGCTATGGACCATCTTAGTGAAATTCTAGTAAAGTGTTTTCCCGACTCCAAAATTGCGAAAGAATTTTCCTGCAAGAGGACCAAAGCAGCCGCTATAACTTATAACGTTTTAGGACCCGAATTTGAAAAAGATATGATTGTAGACATACTTCGTAATGCATCTCCGTCAGGTTAATCAGTTTGTTCAATTGTAATTGACGAAAGTACAGATGTTGCCACAGTCAAAGTATTGGCGATAGTAATCAAATACTTCTCTGAAACTGAATGTACAGTAAAAACCAAATTCCTTGTTTAAGTTGATTTAAGTGGTGAGACCGCAGATCATTTATTTAATGCTTTGTCATCAAAGTTATCCGAATTAGGTTTAGATATAAAAGATGTGTTGGGATTCGCTGCTGATACTACGAATGTGATGTTTGGTCAACATTCTGGCATTGTTGCAAAAATTAAAGAAGTGAACCCAAAGTGCTTTTTCATAAAATGTGTTTGTCACTCTGCAGCATTAAGTGTTAGCCATGCTTGCAAAATACTGCCTAGAAATTTAGAACAGATGATAAAAGAAGTATATGGATATTTTTCTCAAAGCAGCAAGCGTCAAAGAGAATTTGCTGAGTTCCAAAATTTAACTGACACTGAAAACCATAGACTATTACGTAATTATGATATAAGGTGGCTATCGCTTCATGCTTTTTAGTAGAATAATTGAGCAATAGAGGGCACTGCAGTTGTTCTTTCAAGACCAATACTTGAGTGATCGCATTCTATCATCAGAAATGTTATATAATTTTTTTACCAGTGATATAAACAAATTGTACTTCTACTTTTTAGATTACATTTTGCCGATTGTTAACAAATTTAAAATAATTTTTCAAGGCGACTATCCGTGCATTGAAAAATTACACGATGATGCATCTAGTATGTACTTGTCGATTTTGGGTTGCTTCATGAAAACTAATTATATCAAAAGCACGGACAACGTATTTACGCTAGACCCAAAGTCTACTATAAATTATTTGCCATTAAATGATATGTACTTAGGGATCCGAGTGGGTCAAGAATTAATCAAACACAGGGAAAACATAAACATGAAAGAACAAATTGCTGATTTTTTCAGGTGCCAATCTTTTTTAATTGAGTTGAGCACACAATTAAAATCACGTTTGCCTTTTGATAATAAAATTTTCCGAGAACTGAAATTTCTCGACCCACACACTGCCGTGAATAAAGAATTTCGCAGTTTAAGAAATATAATAGAAACTTTCCCATACGAAGTACAGCCAGAACAAATGCAGTTAATTGATGAAGAATATAGAACCCTTAAACTTGATCGCGAAGTAAGTGATTTGTTACAATCTTCGAGTTCTGACTCACCCCTTTCTTGTGAACAATTTTGGGTGGAAGTTGGGAAAATTTCTAATAGTGATGGCACGTTCAAGTACAAAAATTTAACTGCATTCAGTAAATCTCTTTTATGTATACCGGTATCGAATGCTGCATGCGAGCGCATATTTTCACAGATAAATTTAATAAAAACGGAACAAAGAAACAGATTTATAAACAAAAATGTATCAGCAATTTTACATACAAAGCAAGGTGTAAAAGATCAAGGAGGTTGTGTTAATTTTAATCCCTCAAATAGAATGTTAAATACAATTCTAACATTTATTGTGATGATTGATTAAACTTTAAAATTTTAAAATCAGTATTTTTATTGGTATATTTTCCCTGTTCAAGTTGGTATATTTCAGTATTTTTTTGAGGTGCTTCGGTATTTTCGTAAAAAATAATTTGGTCACACTGCTTGATATGTAACACAAAAAATGCCATTATTAAAATCGAAAAGTTATTTTCTAAATTCCAATTGAAAATTTTGTCTACATCACCAGTAGTCCAGTACGCGTAGCATGACAAACTCGAGAATCGCTTTGTCTAAACTCATTTGTCAGTTTCTCGGGACGAGAGTGAGATATAGTATGGGCACACCCGAGAAAGGTGACGTTGTACGACGAGTGTAGACAAAACGTTCTCGAGTTCATCATGCTACGCGTTCTGTATCGCGTTTAAAGTCCTTTAAATATAAAATATGACAAGTATATTTTAATTGTCTAATGTACAATCTAACATATCTTTGATGAGATGGGGCTCGCACTCACAACTTTCCGTTTCCTTTCTAGTGGGCGCTCATTAGTAGCAAAAAGTAACAAGTGCTTGAAAAATTCGTCAGTTCTGTTGGTTCTCGGGTAGCAATAGTCATAGCACTCGCCCAGATTGCGATAGATTGTGGCGGGTGGTGGAATTTTTTAAGCTTATTTCATTAAAGGTATTTATCAGCTTTCATTGTGTATGCAAAATTGATCAAATATAATAATTGATTAATGTATTTAAACAAAATGTATTGTAAATTTATTGGTAACCCTGATGCACGCATACTCCGTGTCGTGCGCGGGCGCAGGCGCTTGGCAACAGCAACGCATGCGTGCAAGTGCAACGGTCTCAATAATGCAGTAGGATGATAAAACTATTACACATTTTTGTACTGACGTTGTGATAATGGAACAGTTTAAATGCCGGTTTAGATAATATCATGGTTTCATACAAAAAACTGAAATAAATAAAATATTCTATCATATTTATTTCAGAAGTCTGTCTGTTTGTCTGTCGGTCTGTCAGCAAGCCGTGATGAGCCGTGATAGTAAGAGAGTTGAAGTTTTCACAGATAAGGTATTTCTGTTGCCGCTGTAACTACGAATACTAAAAACAGAATCAATTTTATATTTAATAGGGAGCTTCCATACAACAAACGCGTGCAAAAAAAACCATTCATGCGCAAGATCAACTCGCACTTGGTCGACTTTTTATTTAGATTATTATTGGCTAAAAAAACTATAGAATATACAGAAGACATGTTTAAATTAAGCCCTTTTTATTTGTTACCCAACAGAATGACATTAAAGTAAAAGTTATTTTGTACATTATTGCGCTACCGTAAACGCTGACTTTATGAGCGAAGAAACACAT